GTGTAGTGTGTGTGCGTGTGCGTGTGTGTGCGTGTGTTTGTGTGCGCGTGCTTGTATATATATATATCGGTTGTTTGTTTGTTTATTTACATATATGCTTATGATAATACCAATTGATCTTCAGGTACCTGTGTGTCCATATAGACAAACGAATACACATAAGTTCGGATATAAATGTTCCACTTGTGTACGTGTTGTATACGGAATGACACGACAGTATTAGAAAAATAACTCAAGTACAAGCATACAAACGCCAGTAGATATCGCCAAAGTTTAAACATACTTGTTCATCGACAACGGTGGCACTGTTCAAATTCTTGAACGCCCCGGTGATCTTCTTTCCCAAATCTGCTAAAACCATGGTGCCGGTCAAGTGATCTACAATAGGCTATAGATATATTCAAGATATACACAATCCAACGTGCGTTTTCGACCAGCGGTCGTTCTAGGTCAATAAATGTGGTAGATGTCTCTCCTGCAGAGTCTTCGACCCCTCCCTACTTGTTCGAACAAGAACGGTTCTCGATATTATACCTATATATAACGGAATAGCTTGGTTTAAATACATGCACCGTTTATGTACATATACTTATATTGTAAAATATATCATCAAATGTACATATATTTGTATATATTATTTTTTTCATCGTGGGATTTTTTTTGTAAAACCTTTTTTAGACTATTATGTATGGCTATAGGTTGTATTCCATAATTCAATTCTAGCCTGTTTGGGATTATTTCGGGATGCTATGTTCAATTTTCAATATGTATGGTTTAAACAATGGCTGTCTCGTGTCTGACGAGGGAATGCTCAGGAGTCAGAACTCAGAGGTTCATTGCAACCCACTCTGTACTACTGCTGACCCACGAACTGAGACAATATCTTACGTTTAGATAACGTGACTTCCCAGAGGACCCATGAGCATAGTAGAGCCGTGCATCGCTGTCAGGGCTAACTACCCTAGTCATTGTAACGTTTATGCTCAAAATACGTAGTCAAATAAATGGCTGGCTGTAGTGGAGTGAACTAAGCCGAGCAGTGATGCACATTTGGAGCTGAAATGAATTGGCGGTCATGAGCAAATTGCATCCAAAGGTGCGTACCATCATGTTAATAGTCATTCCTATACGAGCGCGTCCATAACATTGATATCTGACAGGGAAACTTCTAAAGCCTGGGTGGTACCGCTCACTCATTCACTTCTCGAACCACTTGAGTTAAAGAAAGATGTGCATTTATGCACGGAAGTGCGATCGCTGTCGATTTGTTTTATTTTATAACCGGCGGCTATTTTGATACCTACTCTATCCTTACTCGCCCACCGCGCCGATGAGCTGCGATAAAAATAGAACACCAATCAGATAAGTGCGAGACAGACAAAAAGAAAATTAAGCTAAATGGGTTATATGAATACCACACCGACGAATGTATGGCAGACAGACGGCAATCATGACGGCTGTGATATTATGCAACCGATGTCATACCTTACCATCACATTCAATGAGCACGATGCCATCAAACATACACGCAATTAACGAAGCATCACATGCAACAACTACGAGGGGACACAAAGCAGAAGTCTATACGCAAACAGATCCCATGAATAGTTTCGATAAAAACCCAGCACAAAATATGTATAAAGATGCATATAGATAAACACATACACAATGGTATATATAGATATATAGATATATACATAAGCATATACATAC